AAATTTTAAATTTTTTTAAAGAAAAAATTAGAAATTAAAATTTAAAGATACTTTTCAACAAGTATAAAAAAGTAAATATATAATTTATAATTAATTTTAATTAATTTTTTAATATATTTTTACTAATTTTAATTAATATATTATATTTTTTTGTTAGGGAAAATAGGGAAGAAGTATATTATTACACCTCAGTACTACCGAAGCAAGCTTTAGTATGGTTGACAAACCCCCATACGAACAAAAGAAAAAAAGAGAAAAAAGAGTCATTACATTAACGTCTTTTTTTTCTTGTAGGGTTCGCCAATACTTGAAAGTTTAATTTCTTACGCCTTGATATTTAGTTGATAACTAAGTTATAACGAATTTTCTACCACCTCTACTTTATTACACTATAATTTCATTTCCTTCTAACGTTTTGTGAGTTCTTTGCTTACTTTTGCTATCGAATGTTCTTTAACTCCTAGATACATTTAGACAACTTATTAGTACTAAACCTTATTGTTCTTCATAATATGGAATATTTTTTCAGAGGCCTAGTCCCTTGATTCATATCTCAATTTTTTGTGCTGTGGCTTTGCTGGCATGCAATCTTTTTCGTAGGAATACCCTTTGACTCCACATAGTAGTAATAAAATCATTTTCTTCTTACCAATATAAATACGTAAGTTCCTGTTTTGTAATTTAAATTACATCTAACTGTAAAATAAAAATTATTAAATAGGAAGACAATGAGACGGTATCATGGAGCAACGCTTTACCATTAAACACAAATGCTATCAAATAGCAGAGAATGAGACATTATCTTGTAGCAAGAATATAACGGAACTAAATCACGCAGACGCACACAGGCAGAGGTTATCCTTATGGCGGTAAAAGAAAGATGAGGTTGTGTTTGGGATCTTAGAGCACAGGTAACCTCAATCTCCATTGGGTGAAGGTAAGAAGAGAAGCTCAGATCAACACTCAACTCCAAGAGATGATTTGATGATAACAAAACTATAAATAGCCACTTACGATATTTTGAGTGTGTGGGAACAAAAAGAATGGGTTTTGAAAAGAAAACTAACGAAAAATCAAGTCTCCTAGATTTGACCTTCACTATCAATTTTATAGAGATGTTCAATATTTGATTCATGTGGAAGTAAATATCTTAAAATTTCAAAAAAGTATCACAACGCGCAAAATGGATATCTGATGAGGGCATTAAGATAAGAAATTTATAAAACGATTTTTCATGCATCAAACGAAACATAAATTTCTCAACTTAAAAGCAAGAAAAAATTTACAACAAAAGTTAGTGTAAACTGGCATGAAGGGTCTACAAAACCTATTAGGAGGAAAAAAACCTAATGGCTATATCCAAAAAAAAAAAAAAAAAAGGAGAAAGAAGGATCTACCTAGAAACAGAGTCTGCGTCCAGTTGCTCACGGCTCACAAGAAAACCTTCATTCCAGATCTCAATGCACCTGTAAATATTGAGCATGCATAGACAAATGAGTGAAAAGAGGGAATTTGAGGTTGTAGAATTAAACAATATATGGTAATTTTCATTAACAAAAGTCACAGATTATTGAATTGAAAGAAAATATTAAATCCCTAATAGGATTTTCAAACTCTAACATGCATCATTTGTTAGAACAATTTTATATCAACTTTTCAAGTTTTTTGCTTTAAATATTAAAATACGGGTCAAATGAGGCAAAAAAAAGAAAACCCTCACGCCGCTGGTCACAGGTTGGGTCATAACAGATCACAGAATCAGGGAAAGCCAACGCTAAACCCTACTCATGCAGCGCAAGTTAGGACAACTTTGCCCTCTTATGCTCTTTTTTTTTTCATTTTTTTCTTTTATTATTTATTTATTTATTTACTTTTTTGGCTTGTCTACTGCCTGCTCAGCTCTTTGTTTGTTTGTTTTTTCTTTTTTTTCTTTTTTTTTTCTTTTTTTTTTTTAACAGGGTAGGGAGGGGTAAGGCCACATTGGGGTTCAAACCCTCAACCCAGCATTACTATTCAGGAGAAGCAGGTAGACTTTGGCACGTCCTCTACCACCCCGGATTACTGACCTCAATTGAACTAAAGCTTTAAGTCAACTATAGTAATATTACCATGACAGTAAACGCGTATTATTACATGTTTCTTATATCGGATATTTGACAACTAAAAGCACCACATCAACTTCACAGGCTTACTAAAACATAGAATCAGAAACATCTTAAAAATATATCTATATATATATATATATAGGCCACTAAATTAGTTATGTACTGCAGTTGGATGTCCAGTATTTAATATAACATGGCATTATAGTGAAATAGAGTTTATAGGTTTGTTTACACTGACCTTGCTCCATCAACATTAATACAAAGGAAGCGGCCATGCCGCCATCCATCTTCAAAATGGCCAAAGAAGACATCACCAGACTTAGAATAGAAACGGCCTTCACCGTTAGCTTTTCCCTTCCAAAAATTTGCAAACCACCGGTCTCCAGTGTGATAATAAAACCAACCCTACAAAAACACCATGAAATTTAGATTTAGTAATTCATAGTGATCCAACCAGGATGGGTTTGGCCAAATAAAAAAAAAAATGGATCTTTAGTTCTTTACATCCATGTATGTTTGGTATCAACCCAAATTAGTAAAGAGAACTTCAAAATGTATCATCCATCAGATCTAGAAACAAAAAAACAAGAAATACTACTTTACACATTATGGTCTTTAGATCAATAAGTCAACAAACAAGTGTATCTGGTAATCATGAGCAAAGATGAGGCTGCAAAGGATTATGCTTGTTGAGCACTGAAGTGCTAAATGCTTCTAGGATTTATGTAAATAGTCAAGCAAACAGAAGAAAAGAAAGCCTGACCTTGCCATGTATCAGATCATCTCTCCACGATCCCTGGAATACATCTCCATTGCTGAAGTAAAATGTACCCAGACCAGATCTCTTACCATAACGCCACATGCCGTCATACATGCTTCCATCCCCCAATACCAGTTGACCCTGTATAAATTTACTCATGCAATTGTTTCACATTCAGGACAAAGCAAATATCAATCTGGAAGGAAGCTTTGTCAAGTAACATTGGGAAACAGAATTGTACCTTTCCTTCAGGAAGACCTCCTTGGCAATGCCCCTTGTATATTCCTCCTCTATACTGAATCTCCACAACAGGATTCCACTTTTTTGGTGCATCTCGTTCAGCTTCCTGTGTTTTGAAATCAAACTAAGTTTTCATTCACTTACTAAAATAATAACAGGTGAAGTCCATTCTAAAGAGAGAGATGTTTAGCGTGCATCCTTCAAGTCCACCCTTTTTTACAAGCTACGATTAATGATCAAGCAAATTCCTTGCAAATGATAAGTCTTTTGGGCCTTATGCTCAATTAAGTACTGGAATAAAGTTTGGATTTTAAGATGATAAAAGGTTAGAGCTTTTAAAGCATAAAAATTGGTAGACAGCTAAGTCTGCTGGGTTGAAACTAGTTACTTCTTTCCCTTATAAAAGAATTCTGTAAAGCATTGAACTTGAAAACCACAACTGCTGTGGAGTACGCAAGAGACATACTTTATATTATGACACAATGCATGGATTCAAGGAAAAAACATTTCAGAAAATCAGTCTTAAAACATAAAAAGTGCATCATTCTATATTGAGGAGGGATCCACTTACACACAAGTCTTACATATCACATTTACACAAAATCTCAACCATTCATCTCTTTACTTTCAATGGCTGAGATTTATCACACTTTTTAGATGAAAAAAATAATTATCTTTAATGAATGTGAATAAATCTCAACCACTGAAAGTGGAGAGATGAATGGTTGAGATTTTGTGTAAGTGTGGTGTAAGACTTGTGTGTAAGTGGATGCCTACTCTTCTTTATCATGAATTAAACCAATAAAATTCAGATTACCAGCATAGAGGCTGCGCGAGCAGAAACAACACCCTGCTTCTTAGGAACATCAGTCCTCCCTTTTAAGAGTGTAGATGCATTACTATAAAATTCCCTGACTGCTTCAAAACCTGCATCAGTGAATGCACCCCAAGAAGACATACTTGAACTACCTGGAGATTGGGCTCCAACATCAGCCTCAGATTTTGGTTGTTTGTGTTCTGTAGCAAGTAAGGTGCTAACACTATCTTCCATCTCTTGTGAAGGCCTTACTCCAACAGGCAGGCTGAAGATGCTCAGGTTGTCACACACTGAAGTAGCTGCAGAGTCAGCTGCCCGTTCTTTGGCCCACTCCTTTGCTATCATATGCCCTGGACCCAAGTTCCAGTTACTCAATGCCCCTCGCTGGAAAGTGGGATCGCCTAGGAAGTGCATTTTAACCATATTTGTCAACTGGAAAAAACAGACTTCTCGAATACGCAATATTTGCATGTACGACATGGTTTCTAGGGGGAAATGATGAATCATAAAACTGCAAAACCTTTAGACTTATTCAAATCTAATACAGAACATTTTTAAAAAAAATAAAGATGCTCATCTTGTCCTATGTAATCACATAATTCCTGATTTCCTTGATTACTATTTTCCTCCCAATAACAGGTAATGCTATGTAGCACCCTTCTCAGCTAAAACTGTGTACTAAAAATATTCCAAGCATTGAAAGGAAAATGCAAGGTAATGAAACATTCTTCAAAATAATGACACAAAAAGGAGCAAGGTAAAAGAAATTGACAAATAAGGTAATAAATATAGTTGTTGGACCAAGAGTGCAGAAAGGGACAAAAAAATTTGTGTAATGAGTCAAGATCCCAAACGGGAAATGAGAGGGGATACTTATAAATATATAGAAATGGAGGATGAATAAGGATATGCCATGTAACCTAGAAGAAAAATGGTAAACACTTGAACTTACCAAGGGATTGGGGAGATGAGCTTCCTTTTAAGATGCCCATTTTTGAGCCAATCATACCACAGATAACAATGTAATCTTTAATTTTCAAAATATGTGATATCTCATAATTCAACCTCAGACAATTATGAAACTAATATATGACTGAATTCTTAACACAAAAACAGGTCAATATGCATGGAGGTCAACCAAATTAACCACATGAATGAATAGATTAATAACTGATAACATCAATCATCAACATGTCTTGTGATATCAACAAATATGGGTAGGACTTAGGAGTAATTACCAAATATAATATCAAGAACTGTATTCATAACTGAAAATCATCAGGCAAATATTCACAACCATTCTGTGCTACCTTCAGCAATTTCATCATAATAACTGGGGGAGTCAGTCCTGCCATCTAATAACTCGACCTCACTTTCATCAGAGCCATTATCGTGATTTCTGAATAGGAAAATAGGAAAGGAATTTTATAGGCTAACTATGGCTTAGGATATTCAAAAGGTAAGCCAAGGCAAAAGTAATTTAAAATTTACCTCAAAATGTAGATATTGTCATAGTTGCTGCTTTGTAAAGTCTGCATTTCTTCAGTGTAATTGTCCAAGGTTTTAGATGGGCCTTCTACAGCTATTTTGTTTTCCATTTCAGTGGAGTATGTTGGGGATGCATTTTTGAGTACATCATTTCCATAAGCATCATTTGGCTGTTTATATTTTATCTTTAGAAGATTGGAAACAAAGGGGAAATGCTGGGCCAGTCTAGAGAAGATGCTGCTTTTTGGAGAAGATTCTTGTTGAAGACAACTGAAATCATGAAAAACTTCAATAAGTTATTTTAAAAACATAATAATAGTAGTAAAAACAGAATGAATTTGAGTCAGAACCTCCATATTAACAATGGAGAGCACACATGTTTCACAAATAACAAAATGGATGGTACAATAGTCACGTGCTAGCTAAAACATCAAATTTCCCAGAACAAAAAGTTTAATTGAAAAAAAAAATTTTATCCAAATTTAAAATCGAGGTTAAACAAAATTCAACAAAATTTAATAGGTTTGAAATGAAATAGCACAAATAGCAGCAGTTATAATTGTTAACTGTATTGTTTTTTAGTTAAAGTGACAATGGTGAATTTGTGATTCTTTCTCTGTTAGATGTATATGCACCATCTTGTTCTTTTTCTTTTCATTTCAGAAGTTCTCTATAGTTTTTTCTTTTCTTCATTTTCTGTTTTTCTGTTTATGTGCTATTAAAACCTCAAATATAAGGATAACGGAAGTTATTTTCCCAATTATTCCATACAAACTACTATTTTATTATTATTTTTTAAATATTTCAAGTTTTCAACTTTAAGGTAAATGGGTATGTAAAATTTGGCAAAAGGTCAAGATTTTCCACTGCATTCCAGACACACAGACAGAACTTCATCCAAACAGCAGAACAAGCTATGTCTTTGGAACACATTTTCTCCTATTCCACACCAAGCCTCATATGCAGGGCTAGGCTAAGCAGCTCACTCACAACCAAAAAGCAACAGTTTTGGCAAAAGAGAGCATCCTATTAAGAAAACAAACTTAAAAAATTCATAATCTAGAAAGAATAAAGAGTTTGCAAACTATTATTGAATTTTAAGAGCAAGAACTCTTACCCAATGATAACAACTGTTGTGACTAGTAAGTTAGGCTCCAGCTTAGGTTCATGAACTACAGATATAATGATTTCCCTCATATACTCTGTAGTTTGACGAAAAACATGCAAAAAGGCTTGCACATCATTGCTGCTGATAGCTTTTGAACTTGCAAGAACACATATAACCATGCCATCCAAGTCCTATCCACAAAAAATGAAAACATAAAAGTTTAATGGCACATGCAAGAAAGAAAAAAGAGTCATTATGCAACAAAACATTAAGGGCATGTTTGGTCCCCTAGGGGACGTCCCAATGGTTAGGAACTTGAGCCTCCATGTTGAAGATCTCAAGCTCAAATCCTGGGATGGGTGGGGAGGGGTTTGGGAAGGGAGGGCTATCCCATGTTGTATAGCCCATCATCCAATGTACCAAAAGAAATTAAGGGCATGTTTGGTTTCCATCTTCCTTGGCAAAAGAATTTGAAGGAGCTGAGCTACAAGAGTGAAAGGCTTGGTTCTTGATTTTCTTTCCAAGATAACAACTGGTGTGGTTGATCAAACAACTATATGTTTAGTTTCCCAGGAAACCTTTTGTCTGGATCTTTCTGTCCAGAAGGACTTTCTGAGAGATGTAGTTGACCATATTGCCATCTAACCCCTTAAACAAGTTGCTCCTGGAATCTCAGAATCCAGAACCATGCTGGTTACCTTTTTAGCACTGCACAGCCTCCCATAAATGTCTTCCCTTTTGGGATCAACAATCCAAACAGGATCATAAAGGCTCTTAAAACCATATGAGAAAACAAAAGAAAACAATTCATCAATTCCAAATAAGAAAGCTCATACCAGTAAGCACCCATTTGGGATTTTTGCAATACAAGAACTTACAAGTTCTCAAACAAAAAACAAAAGAAAAAAGGCCCACACAAGCATGTTTCCACCATACAGCCTTATCATAAAATTCAAAAGAAACTTTCATAAGATGTGCACACGAATTCATTAGTCATACCTTAATGCCAGCACCAATGAAAGGGCAATCATATATGGCTTGTGAAATTGAAGCACTAATATCATATGCAGCTCCAAATCCAATTTTTGCTTCTCCATATCTGCCAAGGATCTATACGAAATTCCATTAATCTTATATATGATAAAGAATAAAACAAAACTTATCGGTTAAGAAACAGATTAGTAAAACTTCAAAGTACTGTAAAAAGCACACCTAGGCACCTAGGTTCTAGGCATGGGTCTAGGTTCAAGTGTTTTCTCCTAGACTTAAGTTTTTTTTTTTCTTTTTTTATTTTTTCAAGAGGAAAAAATTCAAAAAAAAAAAAAAAAAAAGATTAGTGCCATGGGAGATAAAGCAGGAACAAGGAAGCATGGCCCATCACACCATGGCTTTCTATTTTTGCATTTTCAGGCACCAAAATGATGCTGTTTTGACTTTCTTCTTTTCTTTTTTTTTCTTTTTTGCAGTTTAGTCCTTCAAGTCCTTTAAAATGTGGCTCAATGGCTAGCTACTTCCTAGGGCTTTTTGCAACTTCACTTAAAAGATTTGGATGTTAAAAATTCTTCAATATACAGGGTTTTTCCCGTTAGTTATAATCTAAAAGTTTTTTTTTAAAAAAAAAAAGAAGAAGAATCAGGGGAAAAAAAGCAAGAAAGATCAGAAGGAATAATAAAATCATTTTAACGTGCCCCAAAAACATCATCATAAAAACTTACATTCACAACTTCTGAAACGTTGATTTCTTTGGCATTTTTGTGAACAACATCAATTTTTCTTCTGTAAGTCTCCTGGAGATCTCCCAGATTGTCACTAAGTAATTATAATTTGCCATAATATTCGAGAGCTACAGAAATAAGGAAGAATATTTACTTACAGATACGAGGACCGAGATTGTGTTTAGGGCTAGTAAAGCAGCATTATTTGCAATTTTCAGAGCCTCATCTAGAGTAACCAACTCCTTCTTGAGCAGTGTGTCAGTGTCAATATCTGCTAACAGACATTAACAAAAATAACATGCCACTTATCCTTAACATCTTAGGTAAAGAAAAAAATTATATCATTCAGAAATAATCTGAATTATTCCATGAAGAGCCACTGCCAAATGCTCAAGAAATCTTTCCTTTTTACTTCCCCCTTCTATATGAGAACAAACTAATATCCATATGCAACTATTTTGAATATATAATGACATAGCGAGGTCAAAACACAATACTTACAAGCTAAAAGCTATGCCCTGGAAGTCAAATTCAAACCTAGCATGGTCAGACTTCTATTTTGATCAATGAAACAGTATATTTAAGGTTTTCATTTTACAAATTTCAGAATCTATAGCATGAAAGATTTTAAAAGCAACATGGATTTTCTATACTCAATGATGCGGTAAAGTTATCCCATGATTTTTTATTTTTTATTTATTTCTTTTATTGAAAGAGGGGGGCAGGCTGGGAAGACAGCCATCTAAATCACTATTACTATCAAAAGAAGGTATCCAAGCATTACCGTTTCTTGACTACTCCACTAAGTCACCAATAAATAGAGGAGACAAAAGAGGAATCAACTAACAAGCACAGGAAAACTTTTGGTTTCTATTATTTTGAGAGAAACTTTGAATGTGGTATTGGTTTACTTAGGTATCCAAAGTAGAAAGTGCAACCTGAACAGAAGGTAGTCTGTCTATCATGACAAACCTTTACATCCACCAAGCAAAGACTCTAAGTTATTTCAATAACACCATAAGACGTCATATCTCCCCACTGCCCTGCTAAAGAAAGCAGGTATATTTGTCTCTTTTAATAATTCTCTGTCACATGGCTTTGTGATCATGTCCCAAGCTTAGCAGGTAAAAGTTTCAGGTAAAAAAAGAAATAAACAAGGTATGTCCAACATAGTTGTATGGTTATAGGGTTCCTAGAAGTCTACAGGGAGAGCTTGAGAGGTCAGAAATGGCAATATTTTCAACCAAGTACCTCTTTTTAAAACAAAGGGTAAATTGACTACTAGCAGAAAAAATCTACCATTAAAAAAACTGCTTACAGCATAAATTATATGATGCATACCAATAAAAAAATCTGTATACTCTTGAAGTTTTCCTACCAAATCTTTCACCTGCAAATTCAGTTGACAATTGTGATTCACAATTAACAGGCAAACCACAATAACTGAAACCATTAGCCTCAGATAAATGTTGAATCAGAAGTAGAAGGTAGAACCATTAACCATATATCCATATTTTCCCCTTTCTATAAATCTAGAAAATCAAGAAGTGTTACAGTTAAAAGAAACAATGAAATTTAAATTTGGGCAAATTGTGCTTTACCTAGCTATCCTTTTGAGTGGGAGCACATAACCCCTTCTGTATTAAAATAAGATGTGCACATAACCTATTGGTGGTTTTGGGTGGGTGCAGGAACAAATAACCCCTTAAGGTTTCAAAACATGCACATTACCACCAGAGGTTTGCATTAGGTTATGTGAACCTTTAGAAACCTCAGGGATTATCCACCCACCCTAAATCACAGTTAGGGTTTCTGCATTTTCTCCTTTACGTTTAAATATCAGCATTTAAAGATTTGCTTATGACCTTCAGTGTCCATCGTGTAGAATGGTACTTAACTACCTATGTCACAGATGCACTTTTTTTTATCTGTTTTTTATGTTAAGTTTTATATGATAACAAGCAATATTTAGAGGTAAGTCATCAAAAACTATAATCATTTGAGGAAGTAATGATAAGATTATTCCACTGACAAGTTATATAATTTAAAATGTAGTTAAATCATGGTGGTTAAAACTCAACTGCAGTCAGTTAAGCTAAAGAGCTGGTAAGAAGCAACTGTACATGAATCTCTTTCCTCCATTTTGTCAGATAAAAGAACCATATTCTTATCAATATCTTTAAGAGCCAAATATTTTCTTATTAGTTCAGCCCATTTAATCTTTATCCTACCTACAACCCTCTTAGTTTCTTTAATGCAAATTAAATCACTCCATAACTATGGGACCATCCTAGATCAATGCTGCACATTGTGAAACCATCTAATTTATCCTTATCCTAATTTTTTGTCAATCCATGCCATTTCAAACCCCTTTGCTATGGTTCCTTACTTGAGACCAAATCTGGGTGGTTCCTAACTCCCAAAAAGGTGCAGCTCCAAAATGAGGATTGTTGCTCGTGTTCCCTGGCAGAACCAAGTTTGATTCTCCCTGGTGCTCCTCTGAGAGCAATGATGCTCCAAGAAGAGCATCAACTCTCTATGGGAGTATTAGAATGGTGCTATCGTGCTCTAACACCTTCCCACCAACAAGGGGGCCATTGTTCCAGGTTTTCATCTGGTTTTGTTTTACATTTTAAATTTTAGTTAATTAACCAATTACATTTCTAATGCATAATAATTATGAATTAAAGATTCTCTTTTTGGTATACAACAAGTGATAGCCTTTTCCTTTCCCAAACCCCTCCCAGCTCAAGCTTTTTTTTTTTTTCTTTTTTTCTTTTTTTTTTCTGGAATCTTCAGCAAGAGGTTCCAACTCTTAATTGTTAGAAACAAGCTCCAACTTTTTAATTGTTAGGACATCCCCAGGGCTTAATTAATAATTATATAAAGTAATAATCTAATTATTTATAATATAAGGGGGTGTTTGGATTAGGGGTTGAAATGCAATGGACATCAGATAGTCAATTTTCAAAAGCTCATAGCTACTGTTGTTCATAATCCAAATATTCTTATTTGTCGGATTAGTCCAAACCACTAGCCTCAAACCTCTGTACCAAACACACCCTAAGAGTGCAATGGGATTTTGGTGATAGAATTTTGACCTATGGGTTCATCTGAGCTGTTTGGAATAAATGGAGGGCTTACTATTCTTTAAAAAAAAGTTTAAGTTCTTAATTGAGAAATTGAAAGTTTATGGTGAAGAAACATCTAACATCACACAGTCCATGCTTAATCTACCTCATCAAGGCGCCTCTGTCCTTCAAAGCTGAAAGGCTTCAGAACAATAGCAACAGCAAATCCTTTTGCTGATCTAATTGTTTTCAGAATATCAATTGCTCCAATGAAATCCAAACCACATCCTGCACCAGCCACCTAGAAAAAAAATTAAACAATGAAGAATTGCAAGTTTCGTGTGAGAAAAAATTACAGCAACAAAACAAAGTTCCATTTTAAAAATTTCCACCAAAAAACAGTGCACATAAATGAATCTCATGCAAGAAACGCATATCCAAAACATGCATCTTATATCGTAAATGCATTTATCAAAAATCAGCAAAAAGTTTCCACTTCTACTAACTACTACAAACAGGAGAATCAATCATTAACACCATTAATTGGACTTGTTTGTCATAATAATCCTAAACAATATCAAATAAAACCAGGCCCATGAACCTAATTCTGTATGGCACAGTGGATCTTCTCTTCATGTTACATCAACATATGCTGTCTCAAAAATGGGGCTTCGACAATTTAGACCAATCTTGTTTCTTTATAGATGAAAAAAGTTATAAAGTGCAGCCAAGCAGCCCCAAGGCTTTGCATATTCAGAATAGGATGCCCAGATACATGCAGGGTTCAGGTTTCATAAAATTCTAATATAGCCAAGCTCGAGAAAAATTCTAGAAATCCTCCAAGCTTGATTTTCAGATGAAAAGTAATCAATTTTCCATAAACCACTCAAGATCAAGATTGACTGATTGGGTCCTAGTAGCACTCAGATAAAATCAAATATCACAACTACAAAAGAAACAACATCAGTTGATCATATTAGCCTTTTAATCATTTTTCTTTTTTTCTTTTTTGTTAACATATCCACCCTAACATCAATTAAAGAGGTAGCTAAATAATCGTAAAAGTCATAGGTAAGCAATGTACAAACAAGGATAATAGCCTTTGAGCATGAATGTTGAAAAAAGGCAGCATCCACAACCCTTCGTGACAGATCTGCACCAGTGATGAAAAAATTAACTGCATATAGTTAACCGTATATAATTAATTTGACAATTTGGCTCAAATTCTATAATTGTAATACCTAAAATTTTGTTTTTACCACTATATAATTAATTAAAAATTATTTATTTAATTAAAATAACTAGGAAAAAAAAAAGTTAAGGACAAGGGAGTGTCATGTCCTGTTGTGCAATGCTCAAATGGCTAAGGAAGCATCAGACTGGCCCTCCAACACCATGGGACCACCAGTTAGAGCTGCTTGTTGCGGCTCCATGGGCAGAGGGACCCCCATTGCAGAGAGTGTAAAATTGGCTCTCCCGAGATAAAGGGAGCACCAAAGCAACATTTCCTAGCCAGGGGTGTTTCAACCCCTAGCCTGGGGAAGGTGCTCCTTGACCATGGGATCACCAGGTCCAACATTCCCATGGCAGCAGTTAATGTATGATTTTACACATATTTTAGATCAGCATCAGCTGATATAAAAATACATAAACTGAAGACTAAGGAAAGGGAAAAAGAAGAAATGAGTACCTTTTCTGCATAACTTCTGCTCTAATTGCATATTCAAAGCATCGTTCATGAGAACACTCCTGGAAACAACAAGAAAAAGAAATGTTATATTTCAGATGGCTAAATTAATGATGGGAGTCTCAAATTTATGCCATTACAAGAGAAGAGAGATCACCAAATAGTAAAAGACAGTAGAATCCACTACAGTTCCTGAACAATGCATTTGTCCTAATTTCCAAAATCAGATAACATTCCTTACAAGAATCTATACAAAAAGAAAATTTACTTGTGACATCGAAATAAATTCATCTGTCAATCTAACTGGTTCCTTGGACTGAACCATTCTAACTGACCTCAAAGCACTAACACATGATGAATAAATAATCTTAAGCAAAACTAACTGAATAAAAACTATCTATTTTAGCACTCTGTTCCGCTAGCTGTTGAATATAAGGTTTTGAGATGTGTAGCATAATAAACTGTATGTAATTAACAAGTTATTTTTTTCACACAGCACAAGAATCATTCTCTCCACTTCCTAAGAGATAAGTGATGGAAAAGTTCAATCCTGCCAACTGGTTTCAGACTTCCAGTAATTTTACACAATTTCAAGGAAAAATAGGCACTTAATAATGCTCTGCATCAATTTTCTTCCTTGTTCAATAATCAATCAAAATAAATTACCTTAATCCATTGTGCCTAAAATTTTAACAAGATTCAGCACTCTCAATTATGAGGCTCAATTGAATATCAATTCCCTTCATCGCAATGTCCCACGTCACATCACAGAGAAAGTAAAAGATACTGAACAGTACTTTACCAAAATCGCAAGGAAGACAACTGAAACGGCGAGTCGAAGCAGAATTCAAGAACTGCATCTCTCCTACTGCCAATGGCAATCACTTCCACAAACTCATAGTCGCCCTGTAAATCCTCACTCTGTACTTCCCGTTCTTTGTTTTCGACTCCATAAGACGACGAACTAGATTCTTTCTCGGTACACATCGGGATTCGAAGCATAGACCTCGAATTGAAACTGAGTTTTCCACTGACAATCCCTTGAATTTTGGGACCAAAGAATGAATGTTTTGAAGGAACCTTGGGCGAAAATAAAAAACGAGAAACTGTAGAGAAACTTGTGGATACGGGAAGCTCCATTAGAGAGATGGAGGTTGTTTTGCAGGAGTTCTTGACCAACACATCAGATTTGCCAACAGCAATTTGGCCGGTGTGAAGCTGCAGACAGTACCCTGGCGATTGGTTGGATAAAGAACTTAAAAATGAACCCGGCTGCTTTGGTGACAATTGGGCTGTTTACAGTGCAGAGTGGGTAACGGATGGGGGATGGGGGATGGGGGATGTGGGAAGTAATTTTATTTTATTTTTTATCTTAGTCATATAGTAAAAAACACGATTATCTCCACCTTTATCTCGTTCCATCCATTATTTTTTATCTCATTTTATTTATATATTATATAATTCAAATTTAAAACTTTAAAATTTTTTATTTTTAACAAAAAAAAATATAATTACTGAGTTATCTAATTCATTGATACATAAATAGTAATTAGGGCATGGTAAATAACAAATATTAAGATACTAAATAGGAAATTTGGTTTATATAGTTATTTAGTTTTATAATAATTTATTATTATTGTTTAACATTAAATAATTAATATGATATATTTAAAAATAATTAAATATATTGTTTACATATTTTATTATTAAAATTATTAATTTTATAAAAATAATATTAAAAAATAAAATAAATTATAATAATATAATTACATTTATTTTTATTTTTAATTAAAAAATTATATTATTTTTAAATAAAAATTTTAATTATTTCTTCTAATTAATAAATTTTATATATTAAGCTAATATGTTTTTATAAAAAATTAATGTAAAAAGCAAAAATATAATAATTACTTAATGTTATTGAAAACAAAAAAAATGAAGTTGAAACTAATTAAATAAATATTAATTAAAAATTATGACAAAAAAATTAAAAATTAAAATAGATAAATTTATCAATAAAATTAAGAAATTGTAAGTCACTATGGTTTAGTACCAAATTTTAATAAACTAACTTTTTTAATTCGCTAGTGATTTGAATACTAACCATTGTATATCTACTAATCCCAAACTTTTAAATTAAAATTTTTATCAAACATTTTATTTGTAATAATTTCAAAATATATAAGTTTACCAAAGACGTATTTTTAACTGTTTGGAAAAAACCATTAATCACTACCCTAAATAACTATATCCAATGGGCCCTTAGACATGGTTTA